TTGATCCGCAGCACCACATAAAAATAAATAAATAAATAAAATAAAGATAGTGTGTCCATCTACAACTAAAAAGAATAAAAAAAAAAAAAAAAAAAAAAAAAAAAAACTAATGCTGCCTTAGCCCATGCCTGTAATCCCAGTGTCTTGGAAGTCTGAGACAGGAGGATCACAAGTTCAAAGCCAGCCTCAGCAAAAGCAAGGTGCTAAGCAACTCTATGAGACCCTATCTCTAAATAAAATAAAAAATAGAGCTGGGGATGTCTCAATGGTCAAGTACCCCTGAGTTCAATCCCAGGTACCCCCACCCCCCCCAAAAATTATAACTGTTGTAATTTTGATGGATATTATGAAATTATCCTCCTAAAAGGTTTGTATCAACTTATGCTCCTGACTATATGTGATTTCCACTTTGTTAGCACAGTATTAAACCAAACTGATTAGTCAAATCTGATAGGTGAAAAAATATATCTCAGTATTAAATTTACTTTTCTCTGATGATGAAGTAGAACATCTTTTCTTATGTTTATGAGTTATTGTATTTTCTTTCTTGGAAACCATCAGTTTTCCTTTTGCCTTGTTTTCTAATGGATTATTGATTTCTTTCATATTTCATGGAGTGCTTTATATATTTGACCCTTTCTGTGTGCATGCGTGCATATGTGTGTGTAGTACTAGAGATTGAACTTAGGGCCTTATGTATGCTAGGCCTTATGTGAGCTACCCTAGCCCCCTTTCTATTTTCTAATGCCATTTTATAGTCATGCACAAATTCTAGGTTCTTGAGTGTTTTTCATATGAATAATTTAATGTTGTCTAATGAAGTTATTGTTTACTATCACTGTTACTATTTACTATCACTATTTATATCAATATTACTATTTATTATCCTTTTTTTAGTTTCAGATATTAAGACTGAAAATGAGTACAGGAATTTAACTCCAAAACAAAAAGTTCCTGAAGGAATGAAACCATGTGGGAATGTGTCTAGCAGATTTGAAAATGATATAAACCAGTCTGCTAAGTGTGGAGAAACTCAAAATTCAGAAGAATCTTCTGGATGCTCCAGGGAACATAAACAACCTACATGTGATGAAAATGGAGTGAGTTCGACTGAGAACTCAGATCATGCTGAAAAGAGAACCTGTCCAAGAGAAAAATCTTATGAATGTAATGACTGTGGAAAAACTTTTAATCAGCAGTCATGCCTCATAGAACATAAGAGGATTCATACTGGTGACAGGCCCTACAAGTGTGAGGAATGTGGAAAAACCTTTCATGGGAGAACTGTACTTATTCGACACAAAATAATACATACTGGAGAGAAACCATATAAGTGTAATGAGTGTGGCAGAGCCTTTGGACGGTGGTCAGCTCTTAATCAACATCAGAGACTTCACTCTGGAGAAAAACACTATCACTGTAATGAATGTGGCAAAGCTTTTAGCCAGAAAGCAGGCCTCTTTCACCATCTCAAGAGTCACACAAGAGACAAACCTTATCAGTGTCCTCAGTGTAATAAAAGTTTTAGTCGACGTTCCATACTCATTCAGCATCAAGGAGTTCACACTGGTGCGAAGCCCTATGAGTGCAATGAGTGTGGAAAAGCTTTTGTTTATAACTCATCCCTTGTTTCCCATCAGGAGATCCACCACAAAGAAAAATGCTATCAGTGCAAAGAATGTGGGAAATCCTTCAGTCAGAGTGGCCTTATTCAACATCAGAGAATCCACACTGGGGAGAAGCCATTTAAGTGTGATGTATGTCAAAAAGCCTTTATTCAAAGGACAAGTCTTATAGAGAATCAGCGAATTCACACTGGAGAAAGACCCTATAAATGTGATAAATATGGGAAGGCTTTTACTCAAAGATCAGTCCTCACAGAACATCAGAGAATCCACACTGGAGAGAGGCCCTATAAGTGTGATGAATGTGGAAATACCTTACGAGGAATCACCAGCCTCATTCAACATCAGAGAATCCACACTGGGGAGAAACCCTACCAATGTGATGAGTGTGGCAAATCCTTCAGGCAGAGGTCAGATCTTAGCAAACACCAGAGAATCCATAATAGAGGTGGTCTCTGTAAGTGTAAAGAGTGTGGGGAATCATTCAGTCAGAAGTCAGCTCTTACACAACATCAGACTATCCATAAAAGAGGAAAATCTGTTTCTTTGTGATGGCTGCAGAGAAGCCATCTCACAAAGTGCAGGATGGTGAGAAATACCAGCTTTTGTAATGATTTGGGGTGAAACTTCAATTACTGTTGGTATAAGAAAACCTCAGTTATTTAATGAGAACCCACTGTGTGCTGCTCTTTATGTTAGGTACTTTGGAGAACAAGAAGCACAACAGCAGATTCCTTTTTTCTGAAAGTTTACAACACAGTTTGGGATATGTAAAACCCACATATTGAATTAAATGAGACTACAGAGTCATATATTTCATGCTCAACATGGTTTAAAGTACTACTTGGTAAGTGCTCTAAATTATGAAGGACAGATTACTTCTGCCTAGACTACTCAGGAAAGAATTTATTGAAAATGAGGGTTTAGTGGGAAGATATGGAAGGCAAAAGGGAGAAAATATTTAGGCAAAACAGATAAAAGCAGAGGTAAATGTGCAGTGGTTTCGAAGCATCAATGATGAGACTAGCCAATCTTAGAGAGTTCATTAAACTTGGGCAATTGATGGCATTAAATTGGAAACAACTTGGGAAAAAGTTGTTAGACTTTAGACTGGCAGGGCTAAAATATCCATAATTTCATACAATAGCTCTATGCTTTGACACAGAGCACTTTTCTCAATTTAATTCCATAAGCACCTCTTTAAATCAGTTATTCTTCATTTTAAAAATGAGTATCCTCTTCCTAATAGAGATAGTGACATAGTTATAATAAAGAAAAGATCAACAGCTTAATTATTGCTTTTTGACTGCTAGTCCTGTCCATTATTACTAGTGAATCACTGAATTTGATTAACATCAGAATCACTTGTGCAGTTTATTTTAAATGACTGGGGTATAGCTCATGGTAGAGTGCTTGCTTAGCATGAGTGAGGCCATGGGTTTGATCCCCGGCATTGGGTGAAAAAATATCATGGCTCTGAAGTTTTAAGTGGGCATGGTGACATATGCTTATAGTCCTAGCTACTAGGAAGGCTGAGGTAGCAGAATTGCTTAAGCTCAGGAGTTGGACCACCAGTCTGGGCAATATAGCAAGACCTCATCTCAAAATAAAATAATAAATACTACTTTAAAAAATAATAAAATGTGTTGAGTCCTACTCACAGATATAGTACTTCATTAGGTCTAGGATAGGAATTGCATATCTTCATTTTATAGCTCCATAGTCACCTAACCTATTCTAAATTGGGAAAGTTTGCCTTAAATCACTACTATACCTTCATGGTTTGTCTATGAAGTGAAAAAAACTGAATATAGTCTTTTAGAGGGTCACTGATTTTTAGCATAAGGAAATTCTTATAGGGAACAATTGCCACCAGCTTTTTAGAATGAACAGGGAATTAGACTACTGTCATGCCTCCAAAGTAGTTTCAAGATGGCTTTTCCATCCCTTTGAAAGTAAATGTTTCCAAAAAAGAGACCTACATTTTAAGGCTCTCAAGGGTCTTCTGAGTGCAAGGCCCTGTTTGTTTTATTACTTACAGAGGTATACTGGTATTCTTTTACTTTAAATCTTCCTTTGTTTCCCAGTTCTGTCAGTATCATTATGTTCTGAATTCTTGAGAACTGGTTATGATTTTATGTTTTTTATCCCTTTTTGAGGCCCAACGATAAGTGATAATGATATTCATATAATATATTAATATAATTAATGATATTAATATAACTATAATTTAGGCATATATTAAATTGGCTTTTGGGATTGGAATATATGTGATTATTTCTGAAAAACACTACTCGGCTAACAACAGAAAAGCAGATGAATTGTTGAAAAACAACTCTTTTGTAACTTGAGATAGCTTATTTACACCACTATTAGAGCTATACATGTAAGGCAGAGGCAACCAAGATTAGAAACTGTTTTTCTCTTCTGGGGAACAAACAAGAATCCCAGATTGAGCCAGAGAGTTGTGTAGCTATAAGTTTGTGAAGCTTATTCCCTACCTAAGCTTCCCTGCTTCCTATTTCTTACTCTTATGTCACTCTTCTTGTTGGAGGGGACTTTACTTATTGATGAGGACCTTTATGAATATTCCTCCTTACCATGATTATGTTGTCCGTATTCCTCATCTAATCTGATTTCATAGATTTGTTATCCAAACTAAAATTACTCTTTACTGTAACTTCATAGGCTTTCTCTTTAAATTGACTGTTCACTGAAATGTAAATGTTATTTTAAACTTGCTTCCTAGTCCTCTCAATACTTTTATTTGGCAATCTTCCAGCTCATTTTCTGCTTAGCATGTACTGTCTATACACAAAAGTTCCTCTATTTGCCTTTCTGAAAATTAGAGCTCTTAAACACTTAATATAAAGGGACCATAAAGACCCAGAATAATAGAATGTGCCTGTTATATAGAAAGATACTGTTCATAACTTGATTGATAATATGGGTTTTTTGTTCTAGTTGTTTCTTGTGCAATCAGAGTATCCCAAAAAAGGTGAAAGGGTATGGAATTTTCAGGTAGGCATCAAAAGGGATAAAATTAGTTATTCAGGATAATATAATGGAATTATTAATTACTATTTGGAGCTAAATTGGTGACATGGAAGGCCCTGAGAGCCAAATGGAAGACATGCCTTGTTAGATGTGGAAATGGAGTGCCCCATTGGGTAATGCAGTGAGCAGAGAATGCCTTTTGATGATCAAGAATACATCTTAATGGCTGGGCACAGTGGTGCACATCTGTAATCCCAGTGGCTGGGGAGGCTGAGGCAGGAGGATTGTGAGTTCAAAGCTAGCCTTAGCAAAAGTGAGACGCTAAGCAATTCAGTGAGACTGTCTCTAAATAAAATACAAAATAGGGCTGGGGATGTGGCTCAGTGGTTGAGTGCCCCTGAGTGCAATTTCTGGTACCACTCTCCACCTCCCCAAAAGAATACATCTTAATGGATATGAGATAGATGTGTTGTGACAATGACAGGATCTAGGAAATCAAGGACCTTTGAAGCATCTTATTATCTATATATGCTATGAGATAATCAATAATACTAGGAAGCAGGAAGGAAAGGAAGAATGTGAAATGAAACAGGTCCAAGGTTAGACGTAATGGCAGTTAATAGTAGTAGCACAACAACCAGGTAGAAAAGTAACTGGTGTAAAACTTAAATGATGAATCATGAAAGCAGTGGTTTATAATAAGGATAAAATTGACTTTCTTTTTTAATTAATTTGAAGTAGATTGATTCAGGTGTTAAAGGTAGAAAGCATCTGGAGAAGTTGGGAAAGCCAGGTTTCCAGAGCAATAAAAAGTGAAGTTAAAAATGGACTGTGGGGGCTGGGGTTGTGCTCAGAGATGGAGCACTCGCCTAGCATGTGTGAGGCACTGGGTTCAATCCTCAGCACCATATAAATAAATTGTGTCCACCTATAACTTAAAAATAAATATTAAAAAAATGACTGTGGATGACACAATAACCTAACAATTAGGTAGTGGAAAGAGATTGAAAAGGGAAGAAGAATGCTTCTCAAAAAATAATTGTATAAAGAGGTTTCTGGAATTTGAAATATGAGATAAAACTAATGAAGGAGAGTGGGAATGAGCAGGACTCTGAACTGAGAAGTCTCAACTGTATGGTGAGGACAAGTAGAGAGCACTGTAGGATATAAGAGCTTAAAAAAGTTCTGCACTCCTGTTCTCAGTTTAGAAGTTGCCTCTTTTGCTAATAATATCAGTAGGTAGCGTTATTATAGGCAAAACAAAGTTTAATTATTGGCTATCTTCTGGAATTGAAAAAAAGGATTTATTAACAATAATACATAACATCTCTGAACTGCTTATTAATGGCCAGATATTACTAAATACTTAACATTATTTTTATATGGGAAATGAAAATGAAATAAATGAATTAAAGTTGCTCAAGGTCATACAGTAAATGATGGGACCAAGATTTGAATATAAGCAGCCCTGTTCTAGAGCCCACATTTTTTTCCCCCTCATAGTGATTAAACCCAGGGCGCTTTAGTTCTGAACTGCATTCCAGTCCATTTTATTTTAAATTTTGAGACAGAGTCTTGCTAATTTGTTCAGGGCCTTGCTAAATTGTTGAGGCTGGCCTTGAATTTCTGAGTCCTCCTGCTTTAGCCTCCTGAATCACTGAGATTACAGGTGTGTAAAATGGCACCCAGCTAGAGCCCACAGTTTTAACCTCTGTGAGATAATTTTTTGTTTTCAGTTAAACAAACCACCTATTGCTATGGTATTCAGTGTCTTGAGTAATAACTGGTAGAAATTTTTCATCACCCATCATTATTCTGAAAAATACTTTGGAAACCCTAAAATCTGGAATACAAACACCTCAGGTTATAATGTCACCACTTCTCTGCATACAAATCTTGGATGAGATTTGGGCATTGTAAACATCAGCCTCAGCTTTTGGATCAACTTCTTAACTTAGAACCATAATTCAATTTCTACATGTTTCTCACAGAATAAGGGACATTTGGTTGTCTTCTTTAATACAAATCATAAAGATTTAGATGTGTTAATAATCTGTTCATGGTCCTATCTTTGAGGGTTTTTAAAAGTGATCTGATATTTGAAGGCACTTCATGGATTTAGAAATAAAAGACAATTATATAGTACACAAAATAGTTTTTGTTTGCTTAAGATCTGCCTTTTTTATGGTTCAAATGGTGCCCCTGCTGAATCCACAAGGCCATAATTTATTTGAGCAACAAATGCCTGTTCATCCTAAGGAAAATCATTTGATAGCCTTTAGTTGAGTCTCTTTGCAACTTTCATCATTTCTCAAAGAAAAGTTCTCATTTCACAGTCCTTCCAACATCTAATTTTTAAGGATTTCTTTGGATCATCTCTCCTTCCATATGTTTCTGGGTATAATTGGTAAGGAGTCCTTGTAATTTCTTGTACATATGTAATATTTCTGCATGTCACACATTTATTAAAAGAATATATGTATGATTATATCAATTGTTTTTATTGTATATATTAGATATAATTTGATTTTATGTATGCAATTTGATTTTTATAAAGCAAACCATGATGTGTTTTAAACTCGGTTATCTCCGTAGCTCACATTGTAAGACGATCATTAAGAGCCTGCAGTTTTTCTTTGATTTGGTTGACTCTTTTCAAAAGAGTTATTACAAAAGACTTTATGCGTTGGAAGCCCATCAGTCAAGGTTCCCAGAACTTCCATCCATCCATCCATCCGAGTTCCTTATCTCTAGGAAATGTCTGTTTGCTCTTGCCAGTTATCTTCCTGAGGCCAAAGGACCTGCCCTTTGGTGTTGCCAAGGAGGACTCCTAAGTGGAGGACATTTTTAGCCTCTGATTTAAAATTAAATCTTCATTATTTTTAAGATTGGCTTGCATTCCTTTTTTGATCTAATGCCTTTGTTCTGCCTACTTCAGTGGGAAGTAGGAACAGGGGTGAAGCAGTTTAGAGACTCCACAGCTTGTAACCAATTTTCCTACATATTCTTAAAGCAGAGTTTAAGCAGAGTTCTAGAAGATGTTGCCGGGATTCGATTCTCAACAGTGGCTTTGGGCAAACAGTTTAACCTGTTGTGCTGCACAGTTACCTCAGAGATGAAAGGGTGGCAATAAAAGTATCTGCCTAATTGGGTAATTGTGTAGATTAAATGAGTTAAATATAAGGTACTTGGTACACATTAAATGCATTATAACTATTTGCTACTGTGCCGGCTGTAGATGCCCTATGCCCATGTCAAAAGTGACCTGTAACCATGCAAGTTTCCCTAGACTCTGGCAAAGTCCGCTTAGCCCTAGGAGAAAAGCTCCCACCCACTTCAATTTTACTTTCTTCCCTTGGGAACTGCTGAACAGCACAGAACAAAATAGCACCAAAGCCGGAACACAGACTTCTTTGTCTTTTATCTCCTAGTTATCAGAGATAGCTAGTAGTCCACGGTTCCCGCCGCCTTTCGTTTTTTTGAGTTCTAGTTACGTTTTCTAGCAGGAAGACCCAACCTCGGCGGGGCTGCATTACAGAGGCCCCTGGGGTTACGTGATTGTGCAGCGGAAAGCCGCGCTGCTCAGTTAGAGCGGAGTACGGCCGGGCAACCACAGAGACGAGAAAACCTCCAGAATCCTAGAGGAGCCCGAATGCTGTCGTGGTTCATTAGAGCAGCAAGACCTAGAAAGACTATCCCCTCTGACCTTTAGTGAACCGTTGGGGGTTCCGGTGGTATTATGTTCGTGGATCTCGCATTCAAACTCTGTGTCCGATTCAGCACTTTATAGACTCCGGAGAGATTAGTCCTGATCATTGAGAGGTGCTAGGGAGGGTTAAGAATGGTTTCCAAGTTTTGAGGTCTCAGGATATGGGGACTGTTGAAAAAAAGAGGAATGCCTGTCTTCTTGGTTTGATACAAGGAAAGGAGGGTTTATTGGAGGGAAATGATGTGATTCAATAGTACATCAGTTGACCCTTGAGTACAAAGAAAGAATGCATTCCAACAGTTGTGGGGCTTTGAGTAAATTGTTTAATCTGCAGGGTGTGTGTCATTCATCTGTTAGTGGAATATAATAGTAACTACTTGAATGACTAGATTCATAGTACACTTTGTTTTGCAGTGCTGGGGATCAAACCCAAAGGCTGTGTGCATGCTAGGCAAGTGCTTTACCACCAAGCTACACCTCCAGCCCTCATAACCTACTTTAAATAAATACTTGCTGCTGTTATCTTTTTTCTGATGTTCTTTTCTCTGCCATTTTTATGAGATTCTACTTCCTAAGGGAGAAAGGGTCCTAGACTTTGTCTCAAGCCTTATTTACATAAACATTTAAGAAATAAAAGAAGGGCTGAGCGCTTGCCTGGCTCGTGTGAGGCACTGGGTTTGATCCTTAGCACCACGTAAAAATAAATAATGGCATTCTGTCCATCTTTTGAGTTCAAAAACTTTAAAAAAAATTTAAAAAGTAAAAGACAAGCAGATTAGATAATAATTTGCAAAGTCACTCCCACATACTCTCTCCTTATTTAGCTTTTGACACAAAGTTCCATCCAAAGTACATTGTCCAGGTGAGTGAATTTTTGGGTAAAAGCTAAGCAAAATATAAAAAGTGCCTTTTAACTTTTTTTTTTTTTTTTAACGTCTCAGGAAGAAGAGTGGCTACAAGGAAATACTTCTGAAAAA